ACAAAGTATTTGAGTATAAATGCAAAGCACACCATTTTGAACCCAAGGTTGATTTCTTACACATTCTATTATAAATATGTAAGTATGCATATATACACACAGACACGCTACAAACAAGTGACTACTTTAAGGGTTTAAGATGGAAGGAAACAATGCCCATATTACATTACCCCATAAAAAAAAAAGTGAGAGAGGACAGAAGGAATTGAATTGCTTTTCAAAATCACATTTGTGTTGTATGATTTTTTGTGGAGAATTTCAGGGTTTTGTAATTTTGGGGAGAACATGCAGACTAAACATTGACACTCCACACATAAACCCTAAACAAAACAAAAAGCATTATCTAAAGTCTATTATAAAAAATGCACAATCAACTTTTATTTTTAAAAAAGGATAAACGAGCTTGGTATAAGAGTGGTTGCTTTCAGACTCACCTGCGAGCATACTTCTCCACTTTTAAATTTACAAATTTAAACCAATCTTCAAACCCAGCTCCAAATCCACTTTGACAGCTCCATCTAGATGAACAGATAAAATACACTGACCTCCCCTTGAATTAACAGAGGATATGTTAAATAGCATCTGTGGGAGGCCCCTTCAGAACAACCATGCCAGAGAAACATACTCTATCCAAACCTATTCCATTTAAAAAGGGCAAACAATCCCAGGGGTATGGGGGACAGCAGGAACTATCTGTGATACTGACTAATAGCTTTAAATATAGTTTATTTTCTTCAAATGTAACTGGCATCAAATGTCTTTCTGTTTGTAGAAAGTTCAGTGGGGTAAGAACAGCTATTTTTGGATTGAAGAAAGGTCAGTAGAACACAAGACAAGCACTGGTGTTCCAAGGCTCTTGTAAGAATGCTAAATTTGACAGGGCTTTTTAGGAAAGAGATGCTGGTAGATAGCTCCATAATGATTACATGTATTGCTTGTTGATTGGCAATATGACTTTTCTACTGCTTGAAGCTGTGCTGTTGGGAATCTTTTTCATAACAAGCAACTGAAAAAAACCCAGGAATTTTTAGTTTTAGGGTTTGGAGGTTCCTTTTTTTTTTTTTTTTTTTTTTTTTTGCAAGGGGAAGTATTTTTGGGTTTGTTTGTTTTAAATTAAACAAAATAATATTTTAACATACCTGTGTAAATAAAGTGATAAATTTCTGCTGAAAAGCAAAGAAACTAACCAAAAAAAGTTTTAACAACAATGGATTAAGTAGTCAAGCCATGTAACTAAGGCTTCAGACACACTGCTACCTCTAAACTCCCCAGGTTAACCTCTTCTGCTCCCAGGTAAGAAGATTATCTAGCCATGCCATCCATGTTTGCAGTTGGTAAGCACAATACTGAGGGTAGTGAGGCACAGGTTGCCCAAAGAAGTTGTGGGTGCTGCAGCCCTGGAAGTGTTCAAGGCCAGGTTGGATGGAGCTCTGAGCAACCTAGACACCTGGTGAAGGTGTCCCTGCCCACGGCAGGGGTGTTGGAACTGTAATCTTTAATGTCCCTTCCAACCCAAGCCATTCTATAATTCTAATAGAATAAAAAAAGTGGAAAAGCACCCTAACGTTTTGGGATTTTTTTTCCTCTAGCAGCTTTCCATTGTCTGCTGCGGTGCCTGACTTCCCTTGGGTCCAGTTGCATGTTCCAACTAAAGAAGTCAGATGGACTTTGCTCTTGTTGGCAATCTTAAAATAAACACACACGTTGCTTACCCTTCGTAGCTGCACAACACTGACTCCAGCACTGCCGCCACTGCTTCCAAAGATAGATTCCACAAGGCCAAGCTGAGTCCAGGTGATAATCTGAGCCAGGTTCTCAGCAGTGCCACAGAACTCCTTGCAAGCTGTTTCAATTTTATCTGCTCTCGGCATCCTCCCAGGGGCCGGTAAGTCCCAGCGGCTTCCTGGAGCATTGCTGTTCCCAAAATAGGTCCTCCCAGAAAGCACAGCCAGCACTGCCCCCCTATGTAGCAGAGAAGAGTCTTGCAATGAGGAGGATCCAGCTGACCACTTAGGCAGGTGTTTTGGTTGCACAACAGAGTGCAGTTCCCACAAGTAGAGAGCAGTAGCACACAGGGTTGCCTACAAGCAACGTTCAGCACAGACCTTCTGCTCCATCAGACACAGTGCCAAGGGCCTTCTCTATTTTGAAGTGGCTGTTGAAGGATTCAAGTGTGTTTGAGTTGCATTTCAAGTAAACTCAGCCTTTTCCTAAAACTGCTTCCAGGGCTGACCAGATAATTCTCATGGAACTCTGAGAGTATGAGGTATTTTTCCAGACTTTTAACAACTAAATTTAGATTGATGGATTCTATTTGGCTTCCTGGTGCCCCTTCCAGGATTAATTACAGAGAAACCTGCATCCTCATTTAGGATGTCTGTGACTTACATTTTTGAGCTCATGAACATGAGCTGGAAGAGAGTTCTGCTAAAAATGATGCAGCCCAGGATATGGCAAACCATTGTTGGACAGCTTTAGGTCTATCAAACAGAATTAAAGGAGACCTGAGGGAAATGAAACTTCATGTTATCTGTTTCTTGAGGTAACTGAAAAGAGGTTGACATTCTGCTTTACCTTAAATAAACCCAAGGAATGGAGAATTAATATGGACCACCAAAGTCCACAACTGTAAACACAGTGGAAGATTATTTTTCGAGGAGTTCAGTCTTTATCTTTGAAAGTATCTAAGACACTGGTGGTACTCTTGATCTCTCTTATGATCTTCTTGTAGTCCAACTATCACTGTGGCTTTTCATCTTTTACCAAAATTTTAAAGTTTTCAAAGCTTGACAGGAAGTTGGCCCTGTGGGCCTTGGTATGTGGAGAGAGATGAAGGAGGTATTCTCCAATCCTGAAATTAATGTCTATTGCTTTGTTTTCTGCAGCTAGAGAAGACTGCACTCTGTTTTGTTTTGGTTTTTCCAGTCCTACACTTCTATGCACAAAATTTTGATAAAATGAAGAGATTTAGCCATCACCTTTAACTTATGCCAAAGCATTATAGGTAGGTCTGTTGAAAATAACTGTCCATGGCTCAGTGAATATAATTGTGGCTGCTATGATTGAAGAATCATCATCCTTCAGAAGCTCTGTAAGACAAACCTCAATTAAGAGCGAATGAAGCTGGTTTTTGGAACTCAACAGCAAAGAGGCTGTGAGGGTTAGCGCATCAGTGGAGCACAATAATTGTTTCACTGTGCTTATTATCTAGCGCCTAAAGAAAGTGAGAACAGTCAGCTGTTAAACAAGCAGTGATAAGCTGTCAGAGCAATTTTGTACACTAGAGAAGATACAATTCTCTACAATATTGCTCCTGGAGGAAAGTGAAGTTTCAGCCAGCTAGATGCTTTGTGCATAATGGTCCAGGGGCAAAGGGGAGATACTTTTTCTTTACATAGTTCCAGAAAATGAGAGGTTCCCACCCAAACTCTTCACAGTGATGTACCACAAGCTACTCCATGTCTTTGGTCTTCACAGGTGGAAGATAATCTCTACCTCTACCTGCTGTTTAGCTCAGGCTACAGTTACTTGTAAGCTGATTTTATCAGTAAGTATCCGAAAGTACTCCTGATACTTTCACTAAGTATCCCCAAAAGGGGATGGAGCCAGGCTCTTCTTGGTGGTACCAACCAATAGGACAAGAGGCAATGGGCAGAAACTGATACAGAAACAGGAAGTTCCACCTGAATATGAGCAATAACTTCTTTACTATGCAAGTGACCATGCACTGAAACATGTTGCCCAGAGAGGTTGTGCAGTCTGTCTCACTGGAGATATTCAAGAAACATCGGGACACAATCCTGTGCCATGTGCTCTGGAAGACTGCTTGAGCAGGCAGGTTGGACCAGATGACCCACTGTGGTCCTTTCCAACTTTACCCATTCTGATTCTGTGACTTCCTGCAGCCAGTGTGACGAGCTGTGGTCCACCGAGGAGAGTGGCATTCCTCAAGCCAGGCTATGGCTGAATACTGGAAATTGAGGTTACTTGGTAACTAAAGGCTCATTCTCAATCTGTCTGCACCGAAATGCCTTCAGAACATGCAGCCACACAGGTAAAATGCAAAAATAGTAACTAGTAACCGTGACTCTCTAAGTTGAGATTGTTAGCATTAACACAACGTAGATTATTTAAAAGTATGAACCTTTCTGAGTATGAATGGTGCCTCTCTTTTGACCGAAGACTGATACACATGTGGGCTTTATGCCTGCATTAAGAATCTTCTGCCCAAAAGAAACAAAGACTTCGTATGTGTAGACCTCAGCCCCATAGCTACCCAGCACAGGGAATTTCTTATGGATCTTGAATGAGGAAAAGGCAATTTAAGGTGCTGGGATAGACCAGAAATTACCACCCTGTGGCAGCCCTTTTTGAAACTTTTGCCATTTGTAGAGGCAAGGACCAGGAATCTCTTTACTTATTATAGAGCAGCAGAGTGATGCCTTTGGAAGGCTGTTCTCCTCCTTAAGAAGCAGAAGCATGATCTTTCTTGGGCTTTTGGGGGTCAGGCAGATTTGGCTGAAAACACACCCACCTTAAATCTTAAGCAACCCAGAAATTTCTGCCTGCAATGACTGTCTTTCTCTTACCTGGCCTTCTGCAAGAATTATTGGCGTAATAAGTCCTGTAAAAAAAAAGTTTTGGTTTTATCCTACGAGACATGAAATAGGAAGCATGACCTTGCATTGACTTCAGTGTACTAAACTTTCCTACTTTCAAACCCATTTTTTCCTATTTTCATATATTTGTAAAAAATGAGTTAGTCTGTAAACATCTTCTTTGTCATAAGGGTCGTAAAACTGAGTCTGATACCAACTTATTATCTGATGGTTCTGTTCTCTTACACACATCCTCTGGTTAACAGCATGTATTCTTGAACTTAGAGGTGGGATTAAAAAACCCAAATAATCAGTATTAACTATATGTGAGAACCTGGAAACAGAAAAGAGAGAAAAAAGGAAAAGGAAAGAAAGATTCACGAATGCTACACCTTACGAGACTTTGATTTAACAAAAGTTTATACTTTTGTTTTCTTCTTCTAGAGTTAAAAAAAGAACTAACTTTTTAAGTACACAATTTAAAAACAGTGGTTTATGATTGACATGTTTTCAGTCAATTTCCTAAACAGTTTTAACAAAATCAAATACAATTCATACAGTTGCAGCAATTCAACAGTTACATGAAGATATTTATAGCATAACGTTCTAAGTTATGCTCTTGACTTCCCAAAACAGCTCTCTGTGATGACATAACTGATTTAAGTGTCATTTGTGAAATGTGTTGTACTCAGGTGCATATCTGTTATAGGATTCTAGAAATATTCTTCTAAGAGGCTTTACAGGAGTAAATCAGGGGGTTAGATCTAAGACCTCTTCTTAGTAAGAAAGCAGATGGCTGTTTCTCATTGCAGAGACAGTCCCATTTCCAAATTAGCCCAATTGACAACAGCCTAACAAGAGGCAACAGAATCTATATCACACAATTTGTTATGTAAATGCTGATGTGCTGCTAAAACAACAGTGAAAAAAAATAGGTTTTGCTAGAGGCAAAAAATCAGTTCTCTTTCCTTCCGCTTCTTTGACTTAACGAAGAGACACACACTTAACTAATTGCTTTGGCAGGCCAGCAGGCTGCCTGTGCTTAATAATACCATTAGGAATTCCACAAGTTTTCAGCTTCTAACATTAAGGACCTTCAACATGTGCTTTTTAAAAGTGACCCTCAGAATTCTTTGTTTTCAAAAGATGCTTTTTCTCTCATATCCCACTGTTTGCTGCATGAGGCATAACACTACACAAATATGCAATGTGCAGTCAAAATGGGGCACTTGTCTGTCCCAGGAAAACTAAATCCTTACCCAGCACTCTGCTAAAAAAAATGACACTCAGAGCAACTCTGAGTTCACAAATAATACCTTCCCTATATTTCTGCTTCAGCCTTGTCACACACAGCCAATTGAACTTGTTCAAAGCCTGATGGCTCTTCATTTTTCAGGTCTAAGTTGTGAACATGCATCAAAATTTCAGGTTCATACTTACAACAGAAAAGAAAGAATCTAAACACCAAATTGGGTCATATTTGCCCTTCTCCACACTTAATTAGATTCCTCCTTTTGGCTAGGGGAACACTCTTTCTAGATCTATTAATTCATAACAAAGGAACAAGCTTTTGAAACAAGTAACAAGACTTTGAAAGATGGCTGGTTTTTATCTTGGAGTTCCATTTTAAAAGAAAAAAAATCACATAACAATTAAAGAAAAGGTAATACTGCCATAATCCAAATACTTTCCTCCTCTATTTGTTTTATGCAGTAGAAAATATAATTATCAGATTCCTACAGATGGGTAAGATGATTAGGACCAAAGAAGGGCGGAATCCAAGACAGAGTCCTGCCATTTCCACTCCATGTTCACTTGTAAAGGCAGCTCTGTGACCAACGTACTTTGTGCTTGGCATGACTGTTTTTGTGGTTCTTTATAGGCACTAAATGTATCTAATACACGATGCAAACCCTTGTACGTAATTTCAGATTCCGATATTAAGGTTGACATGAAATTTTAGGAGGTGTGATGCTCACAGTAGTGCTGTGAAGTCTGTCTTGGATCAGTTTCTTCTCTCACAGCCTCCAGAAAAACTAAAGATGTGGTTGCTACAGGAATGCTAGTAGATTACATGATCTGAAATGACTGGCATTTCATAGCCTCATAAACCCCCCTGCACCTTACAAAGGGACATGGCACTAAAAATATTGCAAGGAATAAGAAAAGGTTACGTTGGTGACTGTGTTCATGGGAAAACAGTTTGTGTACAAAGGTGAAAAAGCATCTTCTGATCAAAGTCTCTTTCATTCCCAGATCATCTTGTACACAGGGTCTCCAACTTGAATCGTTCCAGTTTTGTCAACAGCAAAGTATTTCCCAAAGAGAGGGCTGGTTTTGTAGATGTGTCGCTCGGATGGATCACAAAGGCGGTAACTGCAGAGAGAAAGCCCTTCTTTAGAATCAGTGATAGCAAAACCTAAACATCAAAATATCAGTGATGAAAGAGAGGATATGAATAATGAAGCCCTGTTTTGGTCACCATACTAGACTAAAAACTAAATAAATATTGTAGTTACAAGAATCAAACAGTTCAAATGGAGGAAAAAAAAAGCTTGACTGTATTCGTGCATCTATGTCTAATACATATACAAAAATTTTTGTAAAAATAAAAGTCAAAGTAGCAAAGTTAGATCTTTAAATATCATAAATACCTGTTACCCCAAGCATTCACCCTAGCAGAGACGGAAGAGATATGAAATGTAAAGTTTGAAAGAAGGAAGAGAGAACTTGTATTTTCTTAGCATACTGCAAAAAGTAGACTAGAAGCCAATATACACAGACCCTTACACTGCATGATTCTGTCCCACACACACTTCAAATCAGTTCTAAAATTCTAGTCTAACATGTTGGGACCTAGCCTAAATCCTCTCCCACAACCTAAGAAACGCTGTTATTTTTACAACCTTTTCAATGTCTCCAAAGGCTCCTTCCTGTCTATGACTCCAGTGTCTGGGTTAACAGTTGTTAAAATACACCTGCAAAGACACACAGTGCAAAATCAGTAACAGCTTCTTATCATAAACCTCTTTGCATCTGTATAAACTAAAGGTCTCAAACATTTACCTGCCACAACACACGGTCCCTTTCATCTCCACATCACCAATAAGAATATCCTCCCACGTGTCCTGAGGAAAGGTAAACATTGGGCACAGGTTAGACACGCCCACATGCAATCACTTTTCCAGGAGCAGCACAATCATTCATAAAGCTGCATCATTTGAGATGCTCACCTTTACTTGTACCTTCAAAATATGCAGTTATATTACAGCACTATTTTAATGAAAACTTTATGGTCACTGCATTTATCCCATTTCAGGGTATTTATCCCAATTCAGGACCAACTAATAATTATATCTGAAAAGAACGATACACAAATAATGAATCTCGTTCTGCAATGCGTCCTTCTCTGAAGCAGTGAACCTAAACCAAGTTTATTCTTACTGTGTGGGTGATAATCTGATCTGTGGCCTCTGGCAAATCACCATTTTTGCAGAAAGGAAATTTTCAGTGGAAGCAACTTTTCGCTTCTCATCTACACAAGCTTCCTATTGCAATCCCTCTTGGAAGACAGAGATCTATTCCCACTTCAGGAACTTTTTAGATTCGAGAAATTATCAGATCTATCCAGAGGAAATTTTTTTAAAAAATGGCAACATGACATAAAAACACATAAATGCCACCATTACCAGTTCATTTCATCACCTGATACCTTCCTAAATAGTGTTTTTTTGAACTACCAGAACACTGTCAGAGATGTAGTGATGGACTGCAGTATTGCAAGGGTTAGTTCTACTCTTGTGCCAAAGGCTATTTAAAAAATATGACACTGACAATTTACAAATTGTTCATTTGTATCATTAATTGATCAATTACAGTATGCAGAGCTTTGCCTACTTTACACCTAAAGATGAACTCTCAGTGGCAAGCCTGTCATTTAAACACATTTATTTTATCCTTTGCTAAGCTAAATAATAGTTCACAGACCTGCCTCCTCCCTCAATGTTTCATGTGCACTGATGTGAGCAGAAGTTTTATCTCTCTGGAATTCAGTCGTAAAAGTCACAGAATAGCAGCTTTCTTCACCTTCAGAGCACCACCACACAAGGAAACTGAGCTACAAAGAAACATAACCAAGTCTTCAAAAGACATTTAAGACAGTAATTTTACCTCCTCAAAAGCGCTGCAATCTGCCACAAGAATATTTGGCCTGAAGTTCTGTATCTTAGCTTTCTTTTCCAGCCTTGTATTTAAATCATCCATTGAAGCTTCAGAGAGGAGCAAGACTGGGCTGCAGTCAGGATAGGCAACCTACACAAACAAATACAAACAAATCCTAAGGTTGCTGTAAAAGCACAGGAGAAAAGGAATAGCAAAAGGACAGGTGTGTTGGAACCAGTGGCCACATATTAGCCTGTTAGGCTGCTCCATTCAGGTTTTCATTTTCCTGGAATTAGGTTAACAAGGGAAACAACATGCTCTTTCCTATTTCAGTAACCGTGGTGAGTTTCATTTGCTCAAATTGTAAAATTAAACTTCTCCCTACAGAATTAAACCAAAATTATATAAGCTACCACAATTCCTTACAAAGTAATACCATATGCATGTCCCAGATGCTTATTCCAGGTGTTACAGACAGAATCAAGCATTTCAGTAAAACATGTTATGGTGAGTTATGAAAGATACTCAAGACATTTATAGACCTGCTGAACTGATCCAGTTGACTATAATGAACTAGCTGGATTTTTCTAACTAATGAATCTGCCTTATCACAACCTCAGGAGGGAGTTCCACACCCAGAACAGCAATACTCAATTACAACTCTCCATTTGTCAGTCTAAATTTGCTTGACAGGAAGGGCTGCCATATTAGCAAATAAGGCCAAAGAAGAGTATTCAAAAAAACACAAAAATCCTAAAAGTGGACTTTCACAGGAAAACACAACAAAACAAAAAAGATAATTTTTGGCAAGAATTCTAGTGTATAGCACTCCTGTCTTTCTTTTATATTATTCTTCCTCCTATCCTTGTACATCCTTTCAACCATCATATGACAACTGCTAAAATAATTATACAAAAAATTCTGCCCTTTTTTCATGCTAGGATTCCTGCATGTCACCCCTCCTAATCTCACATCCCTTTTGCTGAAACCTAGTCTTCTGTATTGATCTCAGTGCCTTTACATAATAAAAGCATATCTATAAATCCATAATTGAATATATCTTCTCCTCTTTGTGCAACAACAAGCAAGACACTGATGCCATACAAATAATAACATCAGTAAGACAAGGTACTCACAATTTTAATTTGTTTAAAAACCTTACACTCATCAGAGACAGTTCAAACCACCTTCACTTGAGAGAGTTGTTCAAACGAAAAGGGCATCAGTGACTCAAATGACATGAGGATATCCAAGCACAACACCTCCTTCCCATACCTGCATTAAATTTCTCTAATATCACACCTTCGAGGCTCTTCCCACAGAAAGAGATGAAACTTCTGTAACCTTCTTTAGATTTTAACTCCTAGGCTCATAGCTATAAGGCCCTGGGTTAAGTATCATTCCTTTAAACAAAATATGAAGTAACAACTTGCATCAGTACACTCTCAGACCTAACAAGGGAATGGAGGCTTCCTATGCAACATAGATTACACCATGGAAACATCTTTAAAAATGTAACTTTTTTCTACTCACTGAGACGCAAAAGGTTCCTCTTCAAATATGAGTTTCAGACTCTTTAGCTGCAAATGGTCAACAGCTTAGAAGTAAAATTCAAGCAAGTCACCTCACTACAGAAAAGGAGAATACTCACATGGTTCAAGTACATGATTACACACCTTGCTAAACTGGGCTCAATCACCAATGGTGGAACAGGCAAGTTTTGGTGGGTGTGTGGGAAGTGGTTAAAGGAAGTACTTCTGAGAAAAAGAACATTTATTTACCTCATCAGTGCTTCGGAAAAGGTTTATTGTATTCTTTGACTTTCTTGGCACCATGGAGGGCTCAAAGTGCACCAGTCGATAGGGCTGTGATTTCAGGAAAGTGGTGATCCACTGAGCCACTTCATCACCACAGTCCCTGCCTTGGATATCCTGTCCAAACACCCTGAAGAGTAACAACACATCAGCAAGTTAGCTGGAAAGATGAAGGCTCAATGATGCTTATTATTTGAAGGCAAACAACATGTTTTAATAGTAGTAGCAATATACAGAAAACAAATCCCCTGAATTATTACAAGTTGGAGGTTGGTTTCAAAATCTGGCACAAGGATCAATCCCAGTGTTCAATCTCCTTGTGGCCACCACGTTTTGGAAAGCTAAGTAACATGGACATGGCTGGACAATACCAGTTGGTGAAATAAGCCTTGAAATAGCCTTAAGGTGCCCAGAGCTGACTGTCACATCAATGACCAGTAACAAACCCACCTGTCTGCCAGGTCTACTCTTGCATTTCCATGTCACTGCAACACCAAAAGATTTCTACCAAGAAATCAACTGAAAGGTAATTAACTTAGAAAATAAACGATAGTTTGGAAGGACATGATTAGTTGCCGTAACTGACATACAAGTGTTATTTATTGTAAGTGTCCCTAATTGTAATGGAAACTTTCTTTCAGATTTTAGTGCTGTTAAAATGTAGCTAGAGTTGAGCAAAACTTAAGCTAAAACTTCACATATAAAAAAGATCAGTATCTTATGAGAGGTTAAAAATTTATAATGGAAACAAAGTCCATGGCGCACAAAAGGTCAATGGCACCAGAATACAAACAAGTTTACACAAGGAACACTTTCCTGGCAAGAAAAGGCAGACCTCAACTCAACCTTTCAATAAACTTCAACAACAGTCATTAATAGTTTTGTTACATTCTTCAAAGTAGCCATTTTGACCCAAACACACTGCAGTTTCCTATACCTCAGCAATCATACCCTGGACAGCTTCAAGCACAGAGATGGCCACACAGTTAATCCAGAGTTAGCCCCTAGGAGCCCTCCTCTACTCACTGGGGGAGAGATGAACCATTAGGGTGCCAGCAGCAATATCCCTGCTCCATTTGCTGGGATTCCTGTATCTACTCCGCAACACAGGCTGGGATTAAATGCCATTGCCCCAGACAGCAACCTTTCTCTTCTCTCTGTTCCACAGCCCCTGTGTGCCTTCTGACTGGCAGGTCAACAGACATGAGGGTCTTATAGCTTCCAACACTACTGTTTTCCAGTCACAAAGCAGATGTATCCTAAGCACTCAGTGGTTTAGGGATCCCATAGGAATGGATCATGCAACTGAAGTGTTAGAGACATTAGGCACAAATGAAGAGCACAAGGTTTGTTAACCAGAGTGCTATAGAAACCCTCTAACATTTGCACAAACAGAAGATGTGCCTATGCACTGGCTTCAGTCTTTCATTTGACTCTCCCAAAGACAGCATTTTAATTATCCACATGAAATTTGCAACTGGAGTTAGCAGATTTCAAGACTGGCATCTGCACAGCCCTATGCAACTAGGGGCACTATTGCACTGCCTTGGCTCCAAACCATGGGGCACGAGCCAGCACCCATGTGAAGGCATTGTGCTGGCCCAGAGGTGGAATACACACAAGTCTGTGCAGGGCCAGCAGAGATCACTGTGCAGCAAGATAGCTACTCACACTCACATGCTGGAAGGAAAGAATCAGGGAGCAAAACCCAAATCTTCATTTCTCTGAGCACAGTATTACTCCCAAACCTCGTTCTTACAAATGGATCGGAAAGAGTCATCCTTGAGCTGACAAATGGCAAATTGTTTAAGCACAGCAAGAGTCATACAAACCCTTAGGATCCTTCCTGAGAAGTACAAGGCAATGTTCCAGCTATGGGTGTTGCTTATTTCACATCCTATGCCACCACCTACAACGCCAGACAACTTCGTAACTCTTAAAGTCCGTTTACATGCATTTAACTTTTGATCATTTGGATCCTTAAATTCTAGCAGTTTTAAAGGCAGAGAGTGCAGGTTTATTAAGGCAAAGAAAGAAGAAAAAAAATCAGAAGAAAAAATCACCAAGCTCTAAAATTGGAAAATCCAAGATAATTTTTAATTACTGAAATCTATTAGGCTATTTAAATACTTTTCTAACGGCACAACAAAGTTTAGAAAAATAACACCTTGAAAACTGCATGGTTTTGTAGTGCATGCGTCATTGGCACATACAGGCAATGTACACACCTTTTTAAAAGACTGTTCCATTTCTCTACCATTTGTAACTTGCACCTGCCTTGTATAAACAGAGATACTGAGCTTTGCTGATCAAGGGTTTCCACAGCAACAGATTTATGCTAAAAGCAAGCAAGTGCAGCTCCTTGTCAGTACTTTTAGTTTTAATTATAGCAGCTGGTGCATTACCATCTCTGCTATCCAAAGGACAAACACTGACCAGTAACTTGTAACACCATTTACAGTTATTAAATACTCTTACATATTAATTGACATTGTAGCAGAGAAAAGATTTTCCAGCTCCCCCTGGTAGTTTTCCAGCATGGATTTCAATACACAGATAAAACAATTAGGCTTGGATTCATACAACAAAACTCTAAGCACACAGCTAAATCACTCTTTGTAACCCATCCACCTGAAACTCCTTTGAGGTAGCAACTACAGGGAATGCCTTGGTCTCCAGGGATGCCTGTCTTTCCTGTGACCACAGGGTGAGCCTTGGGCAAGCAAGTTTTTAAAAGAGACACCTCAGTTAAATGCCTACAAACAGGGATGAGGGAATCTAAACTCCGACATCTCACCAGCTCCGAATGGCCAGCGTGCATCCAAAAATGCTGATGCAGATTTTAGCTGTGATCAAGAAATACCAAAGGGCATGACTGAGGCTCTGAGATGCAACTGCTCACCTAAGCATAAGTGAAAACACTAGAAGTAAAAACAAATGAGCAAACATAACATTCTA